TCTTTCTAATATGTGTCGTGCATGCATCACAGTTGATAATTCATAAATCATGCGGTCTTATTGAATTTGTTTTATGATTATGTTGGGTAATATATCAAATTGAAATTCAGCGATCATGAATGAGAACACATTGCGATATATATATTATAGAAATGTTGAAAATTCTGGAAATATTTTTTATTTAAGCATGTACTCTTCCAAAAAAAGAAATTATGTGATTTTTCATTGATTTCCACAGGGATGTTTGGGCCGAAGATTCCACTGAAGCATTATTATCAATTGATCTCACCGAATGCGAAAATGTCTATCCGTCAGCATCGGCTCGTAACTATGGAATCGAAATCAAGGTCTCTTCTGCTATCATTCTAGTTTCTTGAAGATGGATTGTTGTCGTGTGGAAATTAAGACCTCATTTGATCACTGAACACTTCTAACTTTTCAACATCAGTTCTTTAATCTATCACAGTTGTTTTTTGTATCATCAGTGTGGTCAGTATTGTTGTTAAAAGGTTTACACGGCAAGTTTCGTTTGTAGTGTCGTCGAACACGCTATATTCTATCGGCGATGACGCCAGGCATTCGTGATAGTTGGATCGCGGCCTTGCAACAGAACCTGCATAATCCATCACCCACTTACGCAGAAACGTACCAAAGTGATGTGGCTAGTCAACCGGATACGGATATTGTATCGTTGCCATTAGTTAGTCATTTTTCGCAAATAATTTCTGTTTTCTATCTGGATATGGATGCAGTCCTCAGACTGATTCCATGTGTCTCAGCTGTGAGTCAATCTCGACATATCTAATCACTTTTGATTGATTTCGATTTCGAGTTTATTTCAATGCGATTGTGATGATTGCAGCGGAAGAAGCATATCGCATACGTTGCGCCAGAATCGCATCATTCGAATTCGATGATGGAAGATGGCGACGATGAATCGTGCACAGAGGATGATTTCAATTCGATCGCTTCACGCGACATCATGCGATCGAGACAAATCAGTATTTCTGAAAGGTTTGTATTGAGTCCGTTTGCTCACGGCACTTCCATTTGGTTCATATTTCCGCTCGTGTGCAGTGAAATAAATTTGTGAATAATAAAAAAACCCAATGAATAATGAAAATCTGTGAAAGTGATGAAAAATGCAATATTCTGATTGTGAGCATAAAATATTTCAAAAACTCCAGAATCCAGAAATGCTCACTGATTCGTGTCATATGCTCAGTTAACCACTCGTCAGATACAAATGAAGTGAAATGGTTTTGTCCTAATTGAAATTAAGTCGTGTGTTTTATGTGTCTATGGTAATGTATTATATAATCAATCTGATGAGTACCATTTGTGAAAATATTGATTACAGGTCGCTCGACTCATCCGGCGATGAGNTCAAAGTGGACGTCAACGACGTCGAACGAATGCAGTAGTGGCACGAGAACAGAGCCTATCGCCAACGGTTAGACGCTCACCTGTGTCACGGATTAAGGAACGATCCAGCACACGACAACATTCTACTCCAATTAGAAGGTATTTGCTGCTCACGTATCCTTATAATATTCTGATTATATCCTTATACAACATTATAATATCCTTATACAATGTTCTACTCCAAGGCAATATTGCTGTCAATTGCGATGCATAATTATACAGGGTATCCTAAAGTATGCAGGGTTATTTATTCATTTCATTTATTTATTTATTTCACTGTTATATGTTATTCGTTTATTCACTGATACTTACTGCCAGTTATGAATATCTACGAGATCGTAAGCGCAATCGTTGTTATTTCAGGCACGGATCGAATTCGTCTCTTTCGTCAGCACCACCTCATTCAGAACGAACACAGAAGCGTAATACATCATCGGTTGGTATTCTTTGATTCAAAAAAATATGCCTTTGAACTATTTCATCTTTTAATGTTGAATCTCCTAATATTCGATTCAAATGGTTTCTTTCAATTGCAACATATCTATTCGCATGATCAATGGCATTGGTTTTGAATGGTTCATTGGAACCTTTCGGAGTTCGGATGATAGGCACTTCTTTGCTTGCGTGTCAGTCAGTCTAGTCAGATTTTGATTTTGCGGCTTATTCGATCGGATTTCCTTTCCTTGCCAGAGTTCAGTTCAGTTTATTTTAACTACTCATCAAATCCGCCATCGTTTGAGTATTTGTTTCTTTCATGGTTTTTTCCGTGATCCTCTTATTGTTAGATACTCCATCTATACTCACCTACTGAAAATCGTATGATCTTGATTGTTCTCATCGATCACACTACCCAGAAAAGTTCAGAACTGAGACTGTTGAGAGTCGAGTAAACT